ACAGGTCAATAAAACCCACATTTGGGGGTCACGGGGGGGCTGGGGGGCAATAAAACCCACATTTGGGGGTCACGGGTCAATAAAACTCATGTTTGGGGGATCATGGGTCAATAAAACCCAAGTCTGGGGGAGCCACGTGGGGGTGGAGGTCCATAAAATCCACATTTGGGGGGTCACTGGTCAATAAAACCCACGTTTGGGGGCAATAAAACCCACACTTGGGGGATCATGGGTCAATAAAACCCATCTTTGGGGGTCACGGGGGGGCTGGGGGGCAATAAAACCCACACTTGGGGGATCATGGGTCAATAAAACCCACATTTAGGGGGCAATAAACCCCACATTTGGGTAATCACAGATCAATAAAACCCATCTTTGGGGGTCACGGGGGCTTGGGGGTCAATAAAACCCCCATTTGAGGGGATCACGGGGGTGCTGGGGGTCAACAAAACACACATTTGGGGGCTCATGGGTCGATAAAACCCACATTTGGGGGGTCACAGGGACTTGGGAGTTAATAAAACCCACGTTTAGGGGGTCACACAGGGGTTGGGGGTTGATAAAACCCACATTTGGGGGGTCACACAGGGGTTGTCACCATCATTGTCCCCTTCCCCCCCTTACCTTGGTGACCCCCCAGGTCTCATTCCCGATTTCCTCCGCTAATTTCTCATCATCCGTGATGAGGAAGTTGTCAAAAATGGTGCCGGATTTCACCTGGGGGATAAAAGGGGAGTTAGAAAAGGGGTCACAGGACTTCTTTTTTTTGGGGGGAGGGTGTGTCTTTGTCACCCCCCCACCCACCTGCCAGAGGTCGAGGCCGATGACGCCGAAGCTGTCGTAGGCGTAAAGGTGGGGGTCGGGGCTGTACTCGGGGTTGTCGATCTCGGGGTGCACCCATTTCCCCTTGTAATCGGGGTTGTCGATCTGCCGGGGCCTCCACTCGCCCTGGAATGACAAGGGGGGGTTATTGGGGGGGTCACAGCCCATTTCTGACCCCTAATCCCCCTCACAGACCCCCCCTTACACCTCACCTTGTACTCGGGGTTCTGGATAACGGGGGGCTCCCACTCCCCGTCCATCTCCTCATCCCAATCCTCCGGCTTCTTGGCATCGGGGTCAGGGATGTGCTCGGGCTTATCCCAGTCCTGGGGGGGGCAAAAAGGGGGTGACAAGTGGCATCAGGACACCCCCACAACCTTCTCTCCAAACCCCAAATACCCTGTAGAGGATTTTCCCCTCCAAACCTCGGGCTTGGTGTCCTCGGGGTCATCGATCTTGGCCCGTTCGTCCCAATCGTCGGGTTTAACCTCGGGCTTGGTGTCCTCGGGGTCGTCGATCTTGGCCCGTTCATCCCAATCGTCAGGTTTTCGGGCCTGGGGGTCCTTAATCTTACGGGGGGGCAACATGTCCCAGTCCTCCTCCAGGCTGCCCGATTCCACCCGCCCGTTGTCGATCTTCACCTCGTAGGTGTTGTCCGGACGCACCACCAACGTGTAGAGGTGGGTGAACTCATCGTCCTGCGGGAGGGGAAGGGGCTCAGCAGGGTTTTGGGGGACCCTCTCCCCCATAACAAGGCAGCCCCCCCCTTTTTTTTCCCCCCTTCCCACCTTGCAGCGAATGTCCTTGTTGATGAGGACGTTCTTCCCTTTGTAGTTGAAGATGACGTGGACCTTCTTGGTCCCGGGGCCGCAGATATCAGGGCCTGGGGGGGGGAGGTGGGAGATAGAGAGTGAGGGAAGGGGGTCCCACACACTGTGGGGGTGTTTTGGGGGGTGGCGGGGGGGTCCCGAGGACCCACCGAACATGATGTTGTACTCGGAGTCGCCATGCATGTCCTCCTGGTTGAGGCTGTCGGGGAAGAGCTTGACGTAGCCGCCGCCGCAGTCGATGTTCTGCTCGTGCTTCACCGTGAACTGAACCACCAACGTCTTGTCCCGGTTGCTGAAAGGCTCGAAACGGGAGGAGATGGCG